TTGACTATGTTGCGTCTGGAGGATGTAGAAGCATTGGAGGAAGTGTTGACAGCATGTCAACGGACGAAAGCACGACGAGGCAAGATGTTGTTTGGATCAAACAAGTTTCGTCAGAGAGCACCCGCGCTACCGGACTGACCGAGAGGTATGAATCGCCGCTCTATACGTGCAGTTCGGGCGTCCCCGGAAGACTCGAGCTCTGAAGACTCCAACTGAGAATCTTCGGAGAACGAAGGAGATCTAAGGCGGGTCTACCTTATGGAGAAGGAAGCAGGAAGGGACCCAGGTGTGAGGTTCTCAATGACTCTACCGACTAGGGAGGTCGACCAACACCAACAAGCAGTAGACCAGTGACCCGGTCCTTCGTCAGCGGTCCCAAATACGAAGATGTGCTTATTGCGGATCGAAGAAACATGGAGATTTGAATTGTTGGAAGCTATTGGCCTGCGACCGCTGTGGAAGGAAGGGTGACCCGTCTGATCGCTGCCTGTTTGTGTGCCGAGGTTGTGGAGAGATTTACGAGATTAGGAAGTGCCAGATGGAGGAGTTCTACAATTTGTTCCGTCAATGGTAGAACCCGGCCAAGCATGCAGAAATGTTCCCGGAGACACTCGAGAAGATGGCAAATTAGGACGCTCGCCATGTTTGAATTTGGTACGAGCCGAGCGTTCTAATTGTTGTATCTTTGCATATGTGGATAAGCAGCCCAAGGAAGAGATGGGTATTCTAGTTAAGATTGGGAATATATCGAAGATTGGAAATTACCCTGTGGTCCATGTTGCTTCTTTGAATAAGCCTAATAATTTTGCTCGAGAAAATGCAGTAATGGAGTTGGACTTATTGCCAGGCGAGTCTAGGGAGTACTGGAAATACCACGCCCCCACTAAATGGTTCAGGCAAGCCAAAGCCTCTGGAAAGGTCAACAATGGCCATGCAAATTTGTTGTTCGATACTGGTGCCGAGATATCCATCCTGGTTATCGCCTTTGCTCTTAAGGCAGGTTGCCAAATTGATGAAAGTGAACGACAAGAATGCATTGATATTGAGGGATCGGTATATAGCGCACTCGCATCAAGCTCACTCTGAATGGGAAATTGGTGTACATCTTAAGGTGTGGGTAGGCCCTATGTTGGGTCAAAACGCAATTTTGGGGATGGACTTCATGGTCCCCGCCAGTATCCGGTTAGACTTGTCAGACGGAACCCTTTGTCTCCCTGATGAAGTTCGAGTACAATTAAGCGGGCGAAGAACGCTTTACAATACCCGAGTATCGGTTGTGAAGCTGGGTCGGTATGTACAGATACCTGTTGGAGGATGTACGGAAGTGCCTCTCAAAAGGTTGACCTCAGAACAGTGGAAATTGTGGGTCACGAGAGGCGAACGTTGGGTGACCACCATGATACAAGGGATAGGGCGTCGACCGATTTTGAAGATAACCAATGTCAGCCCTCGCCCCTTAACATTGCACAAAGATACCAAGGTAGGTATGTGGTTGACCAGGGATCAAGTTCCGAGAACGCCAGGGTTTGTCTCGGTAGGCTTTCGAAGATATGCGGAATGGCTAAATTTGGCTTATGAATCTACCACTGACCAGGTCGAAAATCAGGTCGACCCAACAGAAGAGGAAGAGGGGGCACTAGTGGAGAGACCAGAGTAAAAGATTATGTCGCACGTTTTACAGCGACCGATGGACCCAACCCCAATGATGAATATAACGCACCAACCGGTACCCGACAGAGAAGAACAACCGTACGAAGAGAAGGTGAATTGGCCGGAGGGGTCTACCCAGGAACGGAATGTAGCTAAGGAAGACCTACCTGCAGTGATCACTACCGATGAGAAGGAAGCCAAACTGGTAGATTTGTTACAGGCAGATGACCAGGTGTGATCTTTCGAGAGTGGGGAACTTTGGGCCGAGTACATAAGGCCAGGGTGGTCGGTCGTACCGGAAGTGGACCCCTCATCCGAAGGCATTGCGTTAGAAGATATACAGATTCCTGATCCAGATGGAAACACTCCCGAAGAGGTGGACCGGTTGCGACAAATAATATGGAAGAAACGACATCTGCTGATGGGCAAAGGTAACGCCTTACCCCCGGCCGCCCGAGGAGCGATATACGATATCGATGTAGGGAACGCAAGACCGATCGCGCAACGCGTACGAAAGGTGGCCCCTCAATTCAGAGAGAAGCTAGCCGACCTGAATAAGGGACTGTTATCAGCAAAGATCATTCAGCCTTCCACCTCGCCATGGGCCAGCCCAATTGTAATTATCGTGAAGAAGAATGGGGTCGATATTCGATTGTGTATCGACTATCGGTTGGTGAATGATCTCACCCAGCTTATGGTATACCCGATGCCGTTGATTAACGAATTACTGAAGGACCTGGACGGAGCTTTGTGGTACTGTTCTCTTGACATGAAGAGTGGTTTTTGGGTCGTCAGTATTACCGAAAGGGCGAGACTAATTTCGGCGTTCCTCACGCCACTGGGATTATTTGAATGGCTTCGGATGCCTTTTGGGCTTAAGAATGCGCCTCAGATATATCAAATATTGTTGGATAATGCGTTATATGGATTTTTACGGATTTCGCCAGGGGCTGCCACAGAGGAAACAGAGGATTTGTTTGCAACAGGGGAATCAGATGTAAAATCGGGTCTCTCGATATTGGGTCGACGATCATAGATTGACGATATACTGGTTCCTTATGAATACTGGGATTTATTATGCAGAAAGTGGAGTGGTTGCTAGACGTGTGAGACTATAGGAACTTGTCGGTCAGTGCAGTCAAGAGCGCGTGGGGGTGTCGGAAGAGGTGGATTTCCACGCGTGGAGGTGCAAATTGAAGGCTAACGATGAAGTGACGACCACGGAATAACGAAAAAAATGGTCGAAGGTACAAGTAGAGTTCGCCATGCTCAAGAACAAGATTGCTAGAGCGCCCATTCTACGACATTTCGACCCGGCTAGAGAGGCGGTTATTATTGTCTACTTAAGTGAAGGGGCCATCTAGGCGTCATTGGTGCAAAATTACGATGGCCAGTATATGCCGGTAATGTTCACGAGCCGAACCCTCAAGTCAAACGAGTTGAACTATAGCACAGTGGGAAAGGAAGTGTTGGCGTTGTTACATATATTGGAGACTTGTTTCACGATGTTGGTAACCCGACCCCTCAACGTTCTGACGAGACATTCTACACTACACTAGCCTGGCTAGTGAAATCTTCGGGGTTGCAAGGCCGCTAGGGAAATTGGGCTGCTCTCTTGTCCCAGTGGAAATTTAAGATTGTGAAATGCAAGAAAGGCGAAGACCAGGTGCTGGGGGCGTTGACAGTCAGTATTAGGCCTCGAGGAAATGTAGACTCAATTCTGTCGTTAATTGCTTCTAAGAAGCAAGCCAGGCAGACGGTTGACCTACCAACACCCACAGTGAAACCAAACGAAGAACTGTATGTGATGAGTTTCGATGGGTCAGCCCGGGTAAAGCAAGGGGGAGGCGCCTGCAGCGCTATTGTATGGAGACTTCCTGCACGGACTATATTCGAAGCTGCGTCAAAGTACTCGATAAGTCTACAGTGAGTGAGAAGGAATATGAGGGCATGTTGCTGGGTTTTGACCTGTTAGAGTCTCTTAGGCGACGGCCATTAATTATCTGTAAGGATTCCAATTTGGTTTTAAGACAGATGCGTGGATAGATTGAGTGCAAGATTCAGTTTTATCCCCGTTACGGGCCAAGACGTTGAGTAGGCTCCAGTCGTGGTCCTCCCATGCAGTCGGAATCAGAGCGCGGACCAGTTGGCCAGTGCGGCTTTACACCAGCAGCAAGGGGCCGAGTCGATCCCCGAAAGGAGGGTGGCCAGGTCTAGAAGCGATCAATCGACTGCCAGAGGTGTTAGTTTCCCTAAAGACCGGAGTCTGTCTGTCAAGATATTCGCGGTGACGCGGTCACGGGTTCCCGTCGGAGTATCCGGAGAAGTTATGCAAGAAGATGTGATACCACAACTCCGGGTGGACCGGATCATAGATGCGCAAGAAGAAGATAGCCGGGTGTGAGAATTGGAGGAAGGCGAGTATGAGGTCGAAGAAATTTGAATAATTGTACAGGTAAGAAGACTTGGTATGGACGGCAACAACGAATCTTCCTCGTGCGATGGAAAGGACGACCTAACCCCTTGTGGGTGGACGAAGTGAGACTAAATTGTGGAGTCTTACTCCGAGATCTCGAGCGCAAGAAGACAAGCCATAACCGCCTCGAAATGATGCAAATCCACAAAAACTAGCGGAGAGTACTAGGATCCCTGGAAGGTAGACCATGGTCTCCCATTGGAAGATTATGTCCCTCAACGGAAGACCTAATATCGTATTGGTTGGCCTGGGTCCCTCAGTGGTAGATCTGGTCCCTCATTGGTAGATCTGGTCCCTCATTGGTAGATCTGGTCCCTCATCGGTAGACCCGGTCCCTCATTGGTCGACCCGGTCCCTCATCGGTAGACCCGGTCCCTCATCGGTCGACCCGGTCCCTCATCGGTAGACCTGGGTCCCTCGTCGGTCCACCTCGATCCCTCATCGGTAGACTTGGGTCCCTCGTCGGTCCACCTCGATCCCTCATCGGTAGACCCGGTCCCTCATCGGTAGACCCGGTCCCTCATCGGTAGACCCGGTCCCTCGTCTGTAGACCCGGTCCCATATCGGTCGACCTGGATCCCTCGTCGTTCGACATTGAAAGCGGCATACACTTACAATTAGTACATGTACTTCCGACGCAATAGTAAGGAGATAATAAGATGCTGCATCCATGTGCATCGAGAATAAACCTAAAATAGTCTCTTGTCTGCAGTCAATGATACACAAGATAGCGTACCGAGTCGAGCAATTTCTAGCGTATTAGGCGGCGTAGAAGTGATACTACCAGCCCTAACGCGAAGTGCCTGAGCCATCACAAAGGGTATGACAAGGGCAGATCCAAGCTCACAAGCGGACCAGCCACGGCTGACAGATGCTACATTCGCCGGACAAGTTCGTCCGCGATGTCGCGCAGGAGCGGGTCGGCAGGTGTCCGATGCACTTCGTCCTCGACCCTGGCAACTGCTATGGCTGCGTAGCAGACGCTCTCCAGCTCCAATCGAGATGACCCACATCGAGGCTGGAATGAAAGTAGAGACGATGCTACGGCTTATGGCACCCGCGCTCAGCCATAAAGACATTACGCGCTAGCTCAGCATATCAAGCTGACGGAGATCGACCGCGAAATAACGCTTACTATACAGCGTGATATGGTGCGCGCCTTTGGTGGTGCTGGCTGCTCTTTCGTGTGGCGCGGCGGTACACAGAATCCCGCTTCGCGCTACCGCCGAGCGTGGATCTGGTAACAACTCCAACGCTTCGGCCCCGGAATAAAATGCAGCGACTAGACGTCTCGCCACCTGTGCTGCAACCATGATGTGATGTTGCCACACGTGCTGCAGCACTGCCCTGACAACTCCCGTGCCATTGACGGCCGCCATGATCAGTGGTTCTTGTAATGATTAAAATGGCGATGAGTTTCCTCTGTCCAAGCCGGGCAGCCAGCTGATGCCACGCTTCGACGCACATGTTGAAAGCTTCACCAACCGCGATTCTACCCGACAATCAGCTCTTCGATGCTACCACGCTGTTAGAAGAAGCTGTCATCGAGTGTTGCAGTGGAATAAACCTTTTCTTTTTCAGTCAATCCTCTTGCAGCAAAGCGCGCAGGTCAGCTAGTGGAACGAAACCGATATCACCCTTGTCCACCGATCCGTGCAACAGCGCCAAGTTCCCTCTACTTCGCGTAGGCTGAGCGCCAGCGCCGAGTCTACGCTGTGGTACAGTAGGTAGTCCGTTTTTAGGTTCACATACGCCTTGATGGTCTCGATTGTATCGATGCGGAAACTGGAACATACCAGCCACCCATACGCTTCATATCTTGTGGCATCGGTACATGGAGCCGCATTGCTGAGCGTGGCTAAAGCTGTCCCCATCTATCTCTTGTAGATCTTGAGCGACGGTATAACGCCCACGATTATTTCCATCAAAAGCTTGGTAAGCGCGATAACATGAATTACAGGAACATGTAATTGTCTGGATGCACTTCAAGAATCATTGACTTGCATCACAGAGCGCACAGCCATCGAAAAGATTGTGTAATTGTCCTTTTCACAGGCAACTAAACACATTCATGCTTCGTAGAGCGGAACAATTAGATGCCGTCGATATGTAGTAAAGCGCAAATTGGCTCCCACTGTAGCAAGTCCAAATCTAGCAATTGCCATCGAAACTCCACCGGTCTCAACGCCACTCGATCACCAAGATACTTGAGCCGACCACAATAGATATAAGGGCCCTATGCAAAACATCAAACAGGAATCAACTGAACTGAGCAAGGTCCATCCACCTAAAACGTCAAGTTGTCACAAGAACCTTTCAATACCTGAAGATACCGATGGGGATGGGTAGCAACGGTTTCTTCTTTTTCTCATGTGCATTGTCATAAGACGCATGAAACTTCAAGTTCTCGTCTCCTTTCTTCATTCCTTTTAATCTCACTAATAACGGTGACTCGTCATGTCATTGAGTTTGTCCAAACCATTGAAAATTTATTACTTCATGTCCATTGACCATGTCTTTTTGATGAAAAAATTTTGTCATAACGTGACTCATTATCGACGTTTCTATACAAAACCACTGCATTTTTTTACGGCTGGACGTCACTCATTTCGGAAACTTTAGTGACAAAACCCGACGGACACAGCTTTTGCATGACCGTCTGTTTACCCTGAGGCAACATTTGCGTTCCCAGAAATTTCGAATGAAATTCCTGACACTGAATTTCAATCTGAGAACGTGAGACATGCTGTTTCTTGCCTTTAGAAATGGGTTGTTGACTTATAAAAATGGGTAATGGGCAACTCGCAAAACTCAGGCAGTTTCGTTTTTGTTCGCTGGTTAGGGTTGCAGACTAAAAGGTTGCTTTTTGTCACTCGCTCAGCTTGTCTTCCTTTGTGTAGCCATTTCTAAAGTACAAGTCAAATCGTTTTTTCTTAACATTTGCAAGTCATTTCTATGGGTCCCCTCAATTTCTATAAAAAGCGATTTGTATTGACCAATTATCATGAAAGACACGACAATCAAGCCATCGTCCACAGCCCGACGGATGCTACGGCGTCTTTGCAACTACATAACGTCTCATTATTTTTCTTTATGGTGTGTAATAAACTCTCCTTCTCTTCTTCTTCTTTCTTTTCCTGTCATTTTTACTGTAATAATCCACCTAGTAATCAAGATATTGTCCTGACTTTCTATTGTGATTTTCTTGTTTCTAATGTCATTATCAGCTGGGGAATGTACATTCTGGGACTCCTTTGGTTCTTTTTACATCCTGCAGTCACTCTTACAACCGGTAAGAACCAGTAAAATCACGGTTTTAACATTTAAAACATGAGTAAAATTGTTAAAACACGTTTATACTAAATTTAATCTCCTTTTCGTAGGCGAATTAAAATGTCGAGGGACTTACATGTCGGAGAATGCACTACTAATTGACCTTATGGAGGCAAAAATGAATGATCAAGAGACTCATTTAGCTCAAGAATTGCATCAAAATTTACTTACGTTACCAGAATTAAAATCAAGAGGCTGCCAAGACAATTGCTCGGCTGTTATCGACTGGATTGATACGCAATTACGTCGTGTAAATCGTGCTGAAACTTATCATCAAGTGGTGCAGATCGATGGACTTTCTACTCCACGTACAAATGTTTATGGCATTTTACGAGCCTCACCATTGGCTGATGGCAAGGTGCACGATGTTAATGGGGCAATTGAAGTTGTTGTAAATGGCTAAAAAGCTGATTGTTTTGTAGGAAACAATTGTCTTGGTGACCCATTATCGAAATGTTGGTGCTGCTAGTGGTGACTATTCTGGTTTATCGATGGGATTGGCGTTACTTAAGTATCTTGCAAGAGTAAAATGGTTAGCTAAAGATGTTGTTCTTTTGGCTGCTGACGGTGAGATGAATTGGAGGGTTCTATACATTTTGAGGTAGAAGGATTAAATTTTGATATGCGATAGATGGTGCTTTGGATGGAAGTGACGGATACGCACCTGGGACAGAAGCTTGGTTGCAAGCGTACCATCTGGATCATGTCCAAACCCGCGGTTTGCAAGACGGATTGCCTATGCGTGCTGGTATCATTCGTGCTGCGGTCAATCTGGAAACAATGTTCGACTCGCATCAGGTGGGAGCAGTCGGGATTTACGCAGCTGGTATGAATGGTCAGCTTCCAAATCTGGATCTTGTCAACACTGCAGTACGTGCATTCCGCAAACACAAAATTCCTACAATTTTGGATCGTGCTGATGTGCAACAAATCAGTGAACACAAACCCAAGAGCTACATCTCATCTGTGATCACTTCAATAACAAGCTTAAGCGAGAAGTACGTTCCAGAAGAGTTGAAGCAAGGCACATTCAACTACCTGACGAACCTCAAGGGTATGCTGAATTTCATGACAACGTTAGCGTCTGGTCCATCAGGTCCCCACGCCAACTTCATCAGCTACAATATCGACAGTATCACTCTTTCGCTGACAACGAAGCTGTCTTTAGGCGACCGGCAACTTTGTACCCGCGAGGTACTTAGGTCACTTGAGATGGTGATTCGTGCACTCAGCAACTTGGAGGAGAAACTACATCAGTCATTTTATCTCTATGTCCTTCCAAGCACGACAACTTTTGTATCGGTGGGTGAATACTTTTACGCAGTGGCTTTAACGATCTCGCCTGCGATCGTTCATCTGCTCTATTTGGCGAATCAAACAACTGGGATGCGCGTTGCGTTCGCGCTGGCTGTATTTTTCACGATTGAAACACTCTGCGTGCTCCTTCTAGTTATGGTCTGCCGATATTTTGTCACTCCCACAGCGTTGCTGCAAACATTCAGTCCAAGCGATGTGTCTGCTACACGGTGGTTGGCCCTTGCAGTTGTAATTTCCGTCGTACAAGCTTTGGTAATTGTGATCATAATACCTGCACTACGTTCTGTGACGGACTTTTCGGGTTGTGTGGACAATTACGCTTGGAGAACGCAAGTCATGACGTACGAAGCTGAGCAGCAAAAGAGTCTGTCGCAAGAATTTGAATCGATTGCCCTCGATGTGAAGAAGCGAGAGTTCCAAAACGACATTCCGAACTTGGATTCAGGCTGGCGCGCCATCAAGTTCATCACTATGGCGGTGCTCGTGTACGTTGTGTGTTGATGTATCGATAAGCGGAATTTTCTGTTGCGTTGGATGTCTGCGAGGGCACAACTGACTTTTACTCTGGTATGTGTGCCCAGGTACTCGCATTGTATTTTGGGTATCTTAAATTATCCGATGGCTCTCTTCGGCGCAATTCCAATGACCCACTTTGCCAGTGTGATTCCTTTCACCACTGCAACACGAGCGAGAAATGCCTGGAGCTGTTTCTGGCTCTTTTTATCGTCTCCACTCGTTCTCGTTGTTTTGTTGAACTGGAGTCGTCTAGGTACGCGCTAACGTACTATCTGACAGTAATGCATATGCTAATCCTAACTGCCTTGTTTCGATGCAACAGACGTGATCGCTGGTTTGTCATATGCTGTTGACAGCTTTGTCCAGCGTACGAATTTGCTAGCATTGCCGTATGTTTGCTGTATCTACACATCCATCCACACGCTATCGCTAGTAATTTGGATGTATCCTGCTCCGCGGAACATCTCATCTTCCGAGAAAAAGGTGAAACAAGAATAAGGAAACTCGATCGACTTTCAGCAGGATTGCTGTCAACAGAATGGAATACGTCAATCGGCTACTTCGAAAACTTGAGGTGGATGCAAATTTTTAGTAGCACGAGTTTACATTCAGGAGCGCCGTGAACTTGCGAGTAACCTTGTGCGAACTTCAGATTGGATTGATGCCGAAGACACGTATGCAGTACATGTACATTGATCAACAGCAAATGGATTACCATGCCATGACCTTCCAAGCATCAGGATACACTTCGAAACCTCAATTGAATCGATTAATAGTGAACCGCTCCTCATACCGCTTACCACTTTCACAACTGAACTATTGCGAACAACCCATTCGTGCCTCATTCATTGATTTCTCGCGGTGTCATGTGAATCCAACGCCATTCATTACTTTCAAACGTATCTGTCTCAAGAAACATATATTGAAAACAACTAGTGGACGTAAGTCTCTTGGTTATGCTTTTGAATACTATATCCGAGCATGAGAATTGCAACAAGTGCTATGATCAGAATGCTATACGCGACTAGCATTCCTTTTTTATCGCCCGTGATATCAATAGCCCGGAATCTTCCAAGGAATTTTCTCAATGCCCCTGGCTCCTTGAGGTCGATTTTCTTGCTTGTTTCGGCAAACTTGACTGAATTCGTTTCCATAAACTTGGCCGCACCAGTTTCTTTGGCGATACCCGTCAGAGATGGCATCCTCTCTTCTTCCTCCTTGGTATCAGTTGTAATATGTGTCACGGTCTCACCTCCCTTTAGGTGTCGAGATATGGTGCCACCCTTATCAATTGCGTGAATGAAAATGGGTTTGTTGATGATATCTCCCTCTGTACATCTTAGAATGGCAAGGAGCAGTAGGAAAAAGTAGTACTGACGCATGGAGAAATTGTTGACGACTATGCAAAGGCCAAAACTTTTGTGTTTACTTGAGCGCTTCGAGGTCAATTGCAAAATGATTCATGAATCTCTCTCGTTCTTACATTACAAGGCCAAGAATTCATGGAGACTGTCAGCCAGTTACATGGACAAGCAAGTCTGATTCCAGTCAGACGTTGTATGAATTCAAAGATCGTTCGTACAGAGAAGTCCCGACGACCAGATCAAGTCCCACAACTTCAATGCAAAGAAGGCCTCTCCTTCTTTCGTGAGCTTCCCTATAAGTTAATGTGACAAGTATTCTCTGCGTACCCTCTATTTCAAGTAAAGTATCATTAAGAATCCGCAAAGTTAGATGGAAGATGGAACGACAACGGCAAAACAACTAGCTTTTCGTGGGCTTATTCGTCGAAGTCAAGGCTGACTACAGAAGCAATAGTGCGAGAAAGAATGGAGGTTTCAAGTCAAATGGTTCAACTGTGACCAAGTGGGACCGCATGAAGTGAAACTGTCCAAACATGAGCGAGACGACGACAAGGATGCCGTCTTCTTCGTGGGAAAAAGGTCGATGACTAAGTATGGTAATTGATAGCCGTGCAACGGGACCAACGATACCACACCGCGACGGATACATACATAGCTTGCCCATGGCATACACCAAAAGATACTGACTAGTGTATGACATGACTTTATACAAGGTGTATATGACCAAATTGGAAGCTCAACGAGCAAAAGTGAATCGAATAGCGTCTACATTACAATCATATAGAAGGTATACATTGTTATTATGGATCGGCTCCATGCAGTGGCATGGGAATTACCCTACAGCTTTTGTCTACTTTCAGCTTCTTATCAATGTTTATTAACTTGGGTTCAGTATGGGACACTGCTTTGGCGTCACATTCTTTCTTACCAGTCATTTTCAAATAAAAATGACGGAAAATGTTTCAGAATACGAGACCAAACGGCTCCGACGTATTGCTGAGAACCGCCAAAAGTTACACGAGCTGAATATTTTCACGTTAGGTACAAATTTATCTGCCATGACCAAGCAGAAGAAAAGAAAACGAGAACAATCGATGGAACAATCGATGGAACCCACGAGAAAGTCGCCCCGGGAACGCAAAAAGCAAAAAATGGAAAAACAACAACGTAAAATGGAAAAACGCAACGAAATTGAGGCAAAAGAGCGTAAAAAACTGGAAAAACGCAACAAAATTGAGGCAAAACAGCGTAAAAAACTGGAAAAACAACAAAAAGTTGAAGCAAAAGAGCGTAAAAGAATGGAAAAGGAAAAACGAAAATTGAAAAAAGAGAAGAAACTTGAGCAGAAGTTGAAAAAAGAGCTTCAGGCAAAGAAAAGAGAGCTTAAAGCAAAGAACAAAGAGCTTAAAGCGAAGAAACAAGAGCGTAGTGAAAAGAAAAAAGAGCGTAAAGCAAAGAAAAAGAAGACGAAAAGCGAGAAAGTGATAAACTGGATAAAATTAAAAATGTGGACCAAGAGATCAAAGAACAAGAACCGAAGTTTTTGGATTGGAGGCTGAGGAGAAAGTTACAGGCTCGAGGAGAAAGAAAATTGGCGACATTGAAGAAGAGAGTGGAGCAGAAGGCATTGAGATTGAAAGAAAATTCAAAGCTCGAGAAGATTAAATTGAAGGAACGAAAATTAAGAAAGAAGCAAAAAGAAAAAGAAAAACTCGAGAGGATCGTGCAAAAGGAATTGGAATTGCAGCGGAGAATGGAGGAAGGTGAATATATGAGACAGGAAGATCGATTGGCACGACAAGTGGCCAAAGAGATGGTCTACAATGAAAAAAACAAGAAACGACAAGAGAATAAAGCTATGGTGAATGGATGGATAGAAGAAATTGTAACTGAGGAGCAAAAGCTGGCGCGTCAGAAGGAAGACGAACTGAGAAAAGTGATTTATCCAATCCAGAAGATTGATTTGCCACTTGTGCACATATCTGATCCGATCGATTCTTTCAAAACAAAGCCGGTGGTATTGAGTCCATTCTTGAATGTAGACGTGAACCCTTTCCATGCGTTTTCACTTGGAAAACAGTTTTTACCTCCAGGAAAGAAATCTGTGATGCAAGGTCTATGCCCAGGAGGATTCACGACAACATTTCAAGACCATGTTGACATTCACGTTTGGAAAAATGCAATGACATTGTTTGTCAGTGGCACAACAGGATTGTTTTACGAATATATGTTTGAAGAAGCAACGCATCATGGAAAAAATTACGTTTTTTTTCGATGGACTCGCACTCAAGCTGTCACACCGTATATTTTGTCACGTATGTGTCAGGTACAAAAAGGTGAAGAGATCTTGCAGTTGAACAAGAGGTATTCTGACGTTCCCATACCGACTCAGAAACCAGAATCTCTCCTACTTTTTGTCCAGTATCCCAAGGTACGTCTAATGCACCTATTACTCGTTCTTTATTGTCTTTACTTACTCGATTGATTCTTTATTATTGTTTATTATAGGGACCTTATATCTATTGTGGACGACTTGGCTATCTCGGTCATCAAGTCAATCCGCTTGAATTATCGTTTCAGCTACTTGATATTAATGCACTAAACTGGAGACGAATCCACACAATGCTAATATCCTGCTAAGTTTTAGCTTTTTTACGACTAAAACGGGCAGAAAAAACGTGTTAATGTGTTGAAACTGGTTTTACAACTACGTCAAAAGTGTCAATTCTAAACCTGCTGTTAATTTTAACCTTTTTTCTTACTAAAATTAAAAATTTAACGCGTTAATTTTTATACGCAAAAAATAAAATTTTTTTTTAAAAATTAAAAAAAAGGAAAAAATTCTGAAAAAAAAAAAATTTTTGGGTGGTCTTCCCGGAAGAAAACCGGCAAATGTTGGCGTCTCTTGCATTACCTAATCTTCCACGTGTATCATCTCGTTCCCAAGCTCCAAAAGCTGCAGTCAAATTGGAACCTACTCGATGGTCTTCTCGTCAACGGACTCGACGTGAAACATTCAAGCAACACGAAACCCAGCAAAAAGTGCAACATACTTCGCAACAAATGCAAGAAATTGCAATTATTGCAATAAAACCAACATTAAATCTAACGCAACAAGAAGTAGAAAAAGTGCAGAAAATTGCGAAAAAGAAACAAAAAATCGACGATCGAAAATTCGAACGGTTAGAAAAATCGAAACAGCGAGATATGGAAATTCAAGTTACGGAACGAAAAAAACAGCAGGTTATTGAGCCAAGAAAAAGACAAATGGAACGGCAAGAACCATATGAATTACCGCCCGAGAAAGTTGCCAAGCGAAATGCTGATATACAAAAATTCATACAAGAGGAATTGGATAAACAAGCGTATCTTGCACGGGAACAGAAACAATGGGACGTGGAACATCCGATATCAAGACAAGAAGAAATGTTGAAACAAAATGACGTGCAGGAGCAACTTCCAACGACGGGAGTTGTTGAAGAAAATAAAAGTGGAGAAATAACAAATGAATTTGACGAAGCAGACTTGATGGAAACGGTGATGGGAGAGTTGGAGTATGAAGTGATGTTGTAGACGAAGTTAATATCTTGCAATAGTAATGTTTAGGAGGTGACATTCGATCGGGATGATTTGGATAGTGTGTGTGTTTGGTGAAATGAAATGATACTGTATTGACTTGAAATGGAAATCAATGAGTATCTGGATGAAGTGTGGTTCTATCTACTCAAGTACATCTCACGTTGGCATCTTGGCTCACTGCATTGAACTTTACCGAAGTTTTTGTCCACACTGCGCTGTAAAAAGTAAATTGCACGCGTATCAAAGAAATCACGTTTGCTGGGATTAAGACAAGCACGTGGGACATGCACGATACTAGGCACATCATCGTCATTGTATATTTCAACATTGTCCATGACAATGTCAAAGAAAAGGGTGGTACGTGTGAAGCTGCCGTCGACCTCCCACAAGACAATACAAAAGAGTAAAGACCAACATTGTCTTGTATGCAATCGCAATATTCTCCATCCAATTTTGTTTGTCAAGCAGCTCTTTCCAACGTGTAGACACATCTACATTTGATCCTCGAAAACTAAATCTAAAGAACCTAAGGTTCTGTCATTCTCTCCAGGCCACCAAGCGCAAATGTAATTGCGTTGGATTCATGACAAGCGTCGATCATACCGTCAACGAAAGCGTTTATTCTTTTAATAAAGAAAAACTCCATGACCCAGTATCACAGTCAGTATCTATGTAGACAGACTGTTTGACCGATACTGCGTAGCATCTGTTTTTTGGTGCTTGGTGAACCGTTGCCACGTTCGACTTGTCGTATCCTTGTATAATAAAATGAAGTCAAAACGAATCCAATTCCTTGATGGGCATGATGGCCAAACCTTTAAAAGCCGTTATTTTGTGGTCGACCGACGTCGTTGATCCAGCCATTATCGTCTCAGGTCAGTTGGGAATTTGCTCAATTGATCAAAGAATCATCGAAAAAACATCTTCATGTGGACATTACGCCACGTTGTTCGCCGTGCACTTGTATCTTCATCTCCGTACCGTGCACTAACCGCTGCTGCTATTGCACAAGATAAAGTTCCCATTAACAATCTATTTGTGACATCCACGGAGGTGGCCACGAAGACGGCACCGGTACTGATTGGTCTGGCCAACACTTTGGAGCAAAAATTTGCCAAAGTCGGATACTTTCGTCCTATTCAGCCAAGTTTTGAGTCTGGCTTGGCCGATCACCATGTTGAAGTAATGCGTGAGCAGCTGGGACTCTATAAGGACGTGAAACAATTGTACGGCGTGACAAGTGAACGTGCCATTGAAAGCTGGCTCAATGGAAAGCAAGATGATCTGGTGGAGGAGATATTGGACCGTTATGAACGATGTCGAGAAGGTTATGACTTTATGATCATTGAGGGGTCTCAGATCTCAAAGCACGAGAGTGCAATGAGTTGGAAGATCAATGTAGACATTGCAAAAGCCATTGGAACTCCAGTGTTGACCATCTCAGATCTTAGTGAGTCAACAAACACAAGCGGTGAGTTACTTGAGGAGATCGTGTCCCGTACGGCATTGAACGCTGATCAAGTGGAGGGTGCTGGTCTCGTCTTTATTGGGAATATTGCCAACCGGGTTTATACGAAAGACCCCACGACTTTACGCGAAGCATTGCGCTCTAAAATGAGCGAGAAGAACTTGCCATTCCTAGGGTTTCTACCGTACGACGAATTTATTGCGTCCAAGCGTTTGAACGAGGTGACGCACCAGCTAGGAGCCAAACAGCTCTTTGGTACGAAAGCCATCCCGAATAACGTCGTGGTAACGTCGGCAGTGGTGGCTACTAGCGCCTTGAAGGACCTGTTTTCGCACCTGAAGAACTACAAAGATGGTGCTCTAGTGATCACGTCGGCAGACCGCTCGGACATTATGCTGGGTTTAATGGCTTCGCGTTTGCCTGGCATCTTACCAAACGTGTCTGCGATTGTACTGACCAACGGCAGCTACCCACACAGCAACACACAGGAAATTCTAAAGGGTGTCGAGGCTCTGGACAAGACGGGCCTATCTATTCCAATCTTCTCGGTACCCGAGGACACGTTCACGACGGCTGACAAGTTTTCAAAGGTGTCAACAGACATCCTGCCCACGAGTCAGCTTAAAATTGACCGCTCCAAGCAGCTCTTTGATGAGTTCATTGAGAAGGAAAACCTCATTGGTGAGCTGAACGAAGGTATGGTGGTAAACCGTTCTCCTAAACAGTTTCAGCACTTCTTGTTCAGCAAGTCGCGTGCCGTTCAGCGTCATATTGTGTTGGCGGAGGGTGAAGACATTCGCGTGCTCCAGGCTGCCGACCAGGTGCTGCGTCAGAACTTGTCGAAAGTAACGATTCTTGGCAACCCAGACGAAATCCACCGTCACGCCAAGTCGCTGAACCTTGACTTGTCGCGTGCCAACATTGTGAGCACGGCAGACAGCAACCTACTTGAGAATTACGTCAACGCTTACTATGAGAAGCGGAAACACAAGGGTGTGACCCGCGAGACGGCCCGTGATGCCGTGCTAGAGGAGACGTGCTTCGCTACTATGATGGTTGAAATGGGTGACGCGGACGGTATGGTGTCGGGTGCCTGCCACACCACTGCCAACACGATCCGCCCTGCGCTGCAGCTCATTAAGACGACGCCCAACCGTCCAAATGTGTCGAGTATCTTCTTCATGTGTCTTGAGGACGGCGTACGCATCTACGGTGACTGCGCCGTGAACACGGACCCGAGTGCACAGGATCTAGCGCAGATCGCCGTAACGAGTGCCGAAAGCGCCGAGGCATTTGGTTTAATTCCGAAGGTGGCGCTGCTGTCGTACGCAACGGGTGACTCGAACTCTGGCCCGATTGTCGACAAGGTACGTGAAGCGACGAAGATAGCGCAGGAGTTGCGTCCGGACTTGGACATTTACGGTCCGATCCAGTACGACGCTGCGGTGGACAAGTCGATTGCAAAGACGAAACTGAAGGCGATCCCGAGTGGTGCTAAGGTTGGCGGCCGGGCGAACGTGCTGATTTTCCCAGACTTGAACACAGGCAACAACACATACAAGGCGGTCCAGCAGAGTACTGGTTGCATTGCAATAGGTCCTATGTTGCAAGGTCTTCGCAAACCCGTGAACGATTTGAGTCGCGGAGCGACAGTGAAGGACATTGTGACGACTGTGGCGATCACTGCAATCCAGGCCGATCAAGTGATTCGGAAGCGCGAATCCGATGCTCTTGCAGCTTAGCTGTAAATGATGCTGGTGGAGGAAGCATTGAATCTCGCGGCGCGAACGAAGTGTCAAAGGCACTAGAAACAACAAAAGGCAGGCGTTTTTTCGGCTGGTGCGTTGGATGGATACGGGGCCGGCAATGGAGTGCTTGTTCTCACAGCAATGTAAATAATGTAAGTACCTTTGTCTGCTGTGTTTGCTCTTGATGTTACCAGAATTACTATCGTGGCATTCGCACCAACGATCTCCAGCTCGTACCACACTGTAAAATATGCGAAAAGATATGTTCGCTGATTGTAAATGAAACCATTACTAGGTGACTTTGAGGCTAATACGAAAGGAACATGCTATTGTTCCTTTGTATGGAAATTACCGTTTCAACCCACCGAGAAATTTCTGGTCAGTTGACCCACATGATTACACTGGACTTCGGCACCAATATCGTAATCAATCGACCTCAGTCACCTTAGATGGCTACACCACCTTCAACATCTCAGCAGCTACAATCGCGGGGCCACGTCGTCTGATGGCGGAGCTGGTATGAAGGGCTTGCGGGGTGGATTCAAACTGGCTGGAGCCGGAAGTGAATCAGGTGTGGCATGCTGCTTCTGCGAGGCCAGTGCATCCACCTTTTCCTGCACACGACGACCGTAATGGGGATCACATTCGGTGAAATTGGCAATAGCTCGAGCCTGGACAGGTTGGGACGCGTTCACTAATGAGGCGGCAATGTTGTCCGTAAGATGTTCACGAGCTGCATCGTCTAGTATTTTGCGGTAAAACTCGCCGACTTGCGAATAATTGTCATCGTCATGGGTCGAGTACTTGTTCACCATCGAATGGTTGCCTTGGTAAGCGCGATAGCGCAGCGTCGTGTTTTCAGGCGGCCCATTCTTGCTATTTGGAAAATAGTTGGGCGTGTCGTTCATGTTACCATTAATGGCCATGAAGCCGTCACGTTGGTACGTTTGCGGCACTTGAAGAGGTCGATTAACTGGAATCTGATTGTAATTGGTACCAAGACGATAACGATGCGCGTCCGGGTAGGAGAATAGACGACCCTGCAGCATCTTGTCGGGCGACGGCTCAATACCTGGTACCATGTTCGACGGGGAGAAAGCAAGCTGCTCAATTTCTGCAAAGTAGTTGCTTGGATTACGATTGAGGACGAGACGACCCACTTCAATGAGCGGATACTTGGAGTGAGACCAGACCTTGGTTACATCAAAAGGATTCATTGTCTCGTTAGCCGCTTGCTCTGGAGTCATGACTTGAATGTACAGTGTCCACGAGGGGTATTTTTTAGTATCAATAGCCTCGTACAGGTCACGAATAGCATAATCTGGGTCAGAACCAGCTAGTTCTGCTGCTTTTTCCACTGGCAAGTTTCGAATACCTTGATCAGTTTTAAAATGATATTTGACATATGTAGTCTCACCTTCAACGTTCACATTTGTAAATGTATGACTACCATAGCCATTCATAAAGCGAAATCCATCAGGAATTCCACGATCCGTGAATAAGAAGCTTTGTTGATGCAAAGTCTCTGGTCTTAAAGAGAAAAAGTCCCACATCATATCAGCATCTTTCAAATGTGTACTAGGGAGTCTCTTTTGGGTATGAATAAAGCTTGGAAAGAGCATCGGATCTCGTATAAAAAAGATGGGCGTATTATTCCCTACAAGATCCCAATTGCCTTCTTCCGTGTAAAATTTAATGGCAAAACCTCGTGGATCACGCACTGTATCGGCGCTGCCTTGTTCCCCACCCACTGCTGAGAAACGAATGGCTACAGGTGTGCGTTTGCCAACACTATTGAACAGTTTGGCACTGCAGAATTTGGTGATATTAGTGTGCGTTACTTCAAAGTAGCCAAAAGCACCACCGCCTTTAGCGTGGACCACACGTTCCGGAATACGTTCACGATCAAAGTGAGCCATGTGGTCAATGAATGCAAAATCTTCTACTAAGAGAGGACCCATGGGGCCAGCGGTGGCTGACGCTGTGAGGCCATGAAGAGGGATTGGCGCACCAGTGCTCGTGGTAGCGGTGTTGCACTTCTGCGTCATGGGTGGATGATCAGATGTGGGTCGGGTGGTAAAATCAAGAATGATGGATTGTAGATCAGCCACGGAATGGTGTGGTTTACATATGTCTGCAATATAAAGGATACGTATTTGATAAGTTGCAGTTCTGATGAAGTTTGCTATTGCAACTGTATTTTGCTGTTTTATACGAACGTTAAATAAAAATAAAACTTATTGCTAATGTCATATTTCCTGAACATGTTATTAACAAAATAAGGTTTGCACAATTTCACGTACCTTGCGAATAATCGTGCCAGAGTTCGAGTCTTCCATTGCATACGACAGCATAGGTCGTGCATTCCACGACCAAGATATAATCACAAGATTTGGTGCTGGACCTTCATGGCCGCACTCTATTGTTACGATGGCGACATGCCAAATTGCTCGAGAAAGCACCACTATTTTTCATTTATCTAATCATGCATACTTTAAAGCGTTATTATTTTTGTGTTCAGGTGCCGTTATTCATGCAATGGGTGATGAATAAGATATCCGAAAAATGGGTGGTTTACAATGTATAAAAATTTATAAAAAAAGGTTGGTAAAATAGGTGATGTAATTTTAATTTCTGCTTAAAAATTACATTTAAATCAAAAAAATAAAAATAGTTAAGGCGATAAAAATGGCAAAAATATACGCGATAACTGGTAATATTAGCTATCGCATATATTATTTATATATTATTTTTTAACTTATAAAATAATGAATTATCATGTGATTAGTGGGACTCGAACCCACAAAGTTTACTTGGAAAATACAAGATTTACCAATTAATCTTGTCGACCCGTCAAGTGGACCGGATGCCGCAATAGGAGGCCTTGAAAGCTCCTTTAGCTGTGTAAATATCTTTGATTGGAGCCGCGGTACCCTTACAATACCCAAACTGCTCGAAAAAGTGGTGCTTTCTCGAGCAATTTGGCATGTCGCCATCGTAACAATAGAGTGCGGCCATGAAGGTCCAGCACCAATCCCAAATTACCCTACCATTATCGATAACAGCAAGCTTGTAGTCACAACAATAAAGAAAATGAGCCAGTTGTAGGGTCTACAATATGTGGCGAGTGTAACACAAAAGGCCAATGTCGTGGGTCATACAGTATTTAACCTTACAATTGGATGAATTAGACCCACGTTTAAGTTCTATCCAAATTTTGAAATGATATAACGTCTTTTTGTTTTTTTTAGCGACAGTCGCTGTAAAAGGATTTGTCCAATAATATTTTTTACTTATATTTTTTCAAATCTCAGGGAGATTTGTGATGGCTAGCGCACCATATATATTATGTCTTTAGCGGCTGTTTTCTGGCTAGTCTTCTTGGCATTTATTTCTACCGCCTTTTCGTCGGATGTATCATACTCGATATTAAGAAATTGTAACGGGATAAGGTCTTACACTAAAAGGGCGTTGAGGAAGCGCTCTCAATTAACTCGTAAATATAACTCTGTTTTATTTTCGTTTCATTTTAATTCGCAGGAAAAGTGCGAATATGTTCCCTAGCTCATGGGAACCACTCAATATGGAAGTCAATTTATTATTGGTTAAATTATTGGGTATGGCATTCCAATAATAAACCAATAATAAAATGACGCGTAGTATCCGCTAATCGGATACTGCCCTATGCCTACTTATGTAATTATGTATTATTCCTATAACTACTTATGTAATAGGTTGCCTAATTACTTCACCCCCCTCTTTAAGTTCTGCTTACGACAACGTAAGCACATAACATAAAAATGATTCTTTTTTATCAAAAGTGCTGCGACACAACCTCGGACCTGCTCAGTGACATACAACTGAGCAGCATGACCCTGGTCGCGCGCGCAAGGATATATATATGACGGCAACAAGCGTACGATCTGCAGGGAGCAAACACCGCAAGTCACGGACGCGCACTTGATCCCGTGGACGCTATACAGTTTTATCGGCGCAAATCAATCTGAAAATGCCTGAACTCATAACGAAGATCTTTATTCGCGATCATTCCGTTCGTGCAGTGATTAACCACTGATTTCTTGATCGTGATGTCGCTGGTTTGATCCCCAAGTGCGCCAAATTTGATTCGCTATGACATTCACATAGTCGCAAATACCATCCATGTTTTCTCAAGCCTCATTATAAATCTCGGAACCGCTCGGGGAATCGTCGTCGTAGTTCTGTTGCTCGCGAGCATCATGGCTCGCGAGGTTGGGGCTGGAATCGGTAGCAACCCTCGCTATCGCCGTCTTCCGACGCGACTCATAATGCTCGACCACGTCTGGAACATCCCGAGCCAGCATACTTCGAGGTCCCCATGTATCGTCCGCCGGCGAACATCCCAATCAGCAAACCCTGTAATGTTTCTCGACGTGGTTTTTCGTCGGCCCCGAGTGATTACTCGGCGCATAAGCCTTATGATCCTCGTGATCGATATTCCGGTCGACAATCCCGCGTCGCGTAACCGATGCATCAATTAAGGGAGGAGGAGCATCACGACGAAAAATCTCTGGCATTGAGCGCCACTTCGCACAATCAGACGCCTGTACAGTCGAACGACGAGATGCGTCTTCTTTGCGCCGAAATTGAAGAGTCGAAGAACGCCCAACTTGAACCTAGCGAGATGGCTGAGAGAGCTCAAGATCGTGCGGATGCTGCGACTGAGGCTGCTGAGAGGACTCGACGTGAGCAGCTGGTACTGGTTGAGCGCCTACGTCAACTTGAGACGACTGCGTTCCTAGGACCCCAGCAGATCGAGTCTGTACGCGTTCGGGCAGGACTTGGACCCAGTCGTCGTCAGCGTCGTCGTCAAGGGATGTCGGATTTTGAGCCGGCACAGAAGAGCGGGGAAGATTCGAAGGTAGATCCGCCGGTAGGTAGGCTTTGAAGCGCCGACGTAGAACTTCGGGTGCAAACGCATAGATGTAGGTATGTCTAGCGTGTAAGCGTCACCATGCACCTTAACAACCCGAAATGGCCCAATAAATCTTGGCGCTAACTTATTAGCGCCCAAATTCATCACTAAGGTGTTCGGCAATCCACTTGTTGATAACAATACTCTCTCACCTTCTCGAAATATCAACATATTCTTTCGACCTCTTCTGTATGCATTCTCCTTTTGCTTGTCGACTGCCTCTTGTAATGCATCACGCAAAAAGGGATCTTTAAACAAATCCGCCCGCACAGGCAATAAATCCTCTTTAGGAGCAAAAAAAGCAACGGGAGACGCGATGGAAAGCATCGCGTCAGGAGTCGATATGCCGTTAGCCGCAAAATTACCAGTATTAGGTGCGACCTTATTTTCATCGTAATCCATCATCAATAGTTTCGGCGCAATTCCATCGGTAGATACTCCCCCACCAAGCTTGGAGACAGGGTACTCTGAAGCTGAGAGAGCAAGTAGTGCCGGAACGCGAGGATGCCTCGCGTTGTTCACGAAAAAGGGCGTCAACCCGGTTGACGCATGGACAGCATTGTTGATTGCAAACTCTGCAAGTGGAAGAAACGAACTCCATGACGAGAACGATGTTGCATAACTGCGCAAGGCATCGGCGAGCACGCTCCGTTTAACCATCCGTCTCTGGATGGGTCGCCGTATACATAAGCAACCGCGTGCCTAGTAGCTGTAATAATTCGGCCCAGAAAGCCGAAGTGAAACGCGGGTCACGGTCCGAAACAATAGATTCTGGCAAGCCGTGATGCCTAAAGATAAGATCAATGAAGATCTTCGCTATCATCTCCACCGTAATGCTGGCGGAGACCGGAGCAAAATGAACCAATTTGCTGTACGCCCGTGCGTTTATGTTCATCCGGTTTCATTCCAAAATTAAAATTCATACTGAACGAGCGCCAGGCTTCCGTAGCAATCGGAAGTGGACGCAATGGAGCTTGTGAAGACGGCGCGGTCTTCACACGCTGGCAGGTTTCACAGGAGCGCACCCATTTCGGATGTACTTAAACATTCGCGGCCAGAAAAACACGCGAGAAATGGCCGCAAACGTCTTTTTGCAACCAGGTGATAGCCAGCTGGACTTTCGTAAAAAAAATAATCCATTGCTACAATTTAAAATTCTTACATTGTAGCGTCGGTTTATCCCACCCCCCGACGCGAGACAATAGACATCGCCGATGAGGGCTCCGAGTTCTCGATCCAGTCAAACGGGGGTCTGAACGCATTCGAGGTCACAGTCAAGTCGGCAACGCTGCCCAAGGAACGACGCCTGCGACACCGCGCGAGTTTGTCCGCGTCAGCCAACCTCGCTTCCGAGGCAGTACTGCATGCAGTGGGGACCACAATCTAAGCGCCTTGCAAAATTTCAACGATGGAATCAAAGAGATAAGTATCTGTATTTAGGTATAGTACTCGAACACGAGGCGTTGCACGCCTACACTGAGGCGTTTTCTAGCGTCACGGGCGTCGATAATGATGACCAATATGACCTCGCCATGTAGATGCTGGGCCTGATTTTCGTACTGGGTAACTACTGTTAGCGTTTGGAGGAAGTCATCTACATGATGTTCAAGAAAAGCACCAAGTCCGTCGCATCCCTACATCTTCGCATGATGAAATGGTACGGATTCTACAGAACTTACCAGAGGGTTCTTTTGGCTTCGATGAATCCACTCAAATACGGTACTTTAAGTGAGCCATGTCAAGCGAGTGAAAACGCGCCTAAGATATGAGCGAGATTGACCTGATTACCATGATGCAAGCTGTTCAATACTTTCAACGACTAGAAGCGTCTAAATTTCGTCAGATGAACGAGAGAAGCCCTCGCAACGGCATTGCAACATCTAACAAGGTCCCTCGGCCAGTCAACAACAGGTCAAGTCCGCGAATGGACAAGGTAGACGAGGTGGACGGACTAATGGTGGTAGTTTTCATCGTGACAAGGATGGCAAAAGAGATAACACGATCGAGAAGGACAACAGGTGGGTCAGCTATCATAGGACGTCTTCACATAGCGATGTTGAGTGCTTGACGCATCAGAATAAAGCACCGACAATG